CGGGGGTACCAAAAAATTAATGCGTACGAAAATAATAAATATATTAAATTGAATTTATATTAAGTTATTTATATGTGATTTTAAAATAATGTGCTCTTATGAAATTTAACTGGGTGTTAACAATTACTGATTTTTTTATGGCATGCTACTGTAAAATTATAAAATTGAGTTTCTCGTGTAATAGGAAAAAAGATAAGGCTAAATTGTGATATCAATTCTAACTTGATAATGCAACTGTTGCACTCTATAGGGTGTTACAACTTTTATGAAAAAATCACACATCCTGTATTAATAAAAAAGAGGGTTTTATGCAAACACAGCACACCCACGTTCTGGAAAAGACAACCTGTCATTCAAAAAAAAATTCGTCCAAATCAGAAAAGTGGTTTTGACAAATATTTAAACTTTTTGTTATTTTTTGATGGTGCGTTAATTTATTGGGGAAGTGTATAGGAGCTTTTATTTAATGCGAGGGCTGTTCTCTTTCCGGTGCCTATCCAGTAGACATTTCAATCTAATTTTTTTTTATGGATAGATGACATTCGACATGCAAGTCTATTTACCACAGAAATAAGTTTAAACTTGATCATTTTCATATTTAATATGTTAAGTATCTATTTTAGTATTTTGAGTAAATTTAATAAGTTTTTGACGCCATTATTAAATTTACTTAAAATACTAAAACAGATATTTAACATATTATAAAGGGTGTTTTTTAAGGATGATAGAACTTTAAACTTTAAAAATATATTAAAAACAATATTTTGTGATAAAAGTGTTTATTTTAAAAAACAATCTATTACATTAACATTTAAAAATTATTTGCGACATATGTCCGCAAGACAGCGTATTTTTTTGGTCCAATTTTGGGTATCTTTTTCGAGCACTTCTGGTCGTATGTGGTGAATAACACGAACACTGTTGGCTTCTAAGGCTTTAGTTGTTGCTGGTTTATCAACATAAACTAATTACTTGACAGCCCCACAGAAAATAATCTAGGGGTGTCATATCACAGGACATGGTTTGACAGTTAACAGCTCCATTTTTCGAAATTATATTAATAGTCTATGCGTTTGACGAACCGATAACTCACTTTCAAAGATAATTTTGAAGGATTTAGTAGCGTTGTTTAAACATATATCTATTCACGATGATTTACTAATAAAAACAGCGTCAGACTGACAGTTCAGTCTGACTGTAATTGTCATGTAAAGTTCTATCAAACCTAAAAAAAACACCCTTTATATGAAAATTATCAAGTTTAAACTGTTTGTGGTAAATAGACTTGCATGTCTGATGTCATCTAGTTATAAAAAAAAAAGTTTAGTTAGTGACAGATGTCAAATATATCTGATTGTAAGTTACATAAGTTTAAAGTAATCCTTTCGCCAAAAGTGAGGAGCTTTATCGTGCTGTATTTTTTTACAATTTCAAGCGTGGCTTGTTTTGAGGAAATCAATCTAGTGCTTGGTGCAAAGTCGTGTTTCGCCGCTACCGTAAAGCGGTGGTACAATGAATTTCAAACTGGTCGCCACTTTTTTGGAATTACTGAGCACGTTTCCATTGTAGCCCTGAAGGATAGACGTACTGTTAATTCAGAATGGTACACTACAGTTTGTTTGCCTCAGGTTCTCCAAAAGGTTCGCGAAAAACGTCCAAGAGGAAGGATCATCTTGCATCACAATAACGCTCGGGCCCACACCATAGATAAATTAATATGTAAGATAAACCGTTTAAATGCACGGCATTGGTAACAAGTTTAGTTCTTCAGCATACTATTTGGAGCCACCATCGCGCCAGTTTCCATAAACTTTCATGAGATTAGAGTTATTTCAAACATCCTATTTTGTTTTTGTCAAGCTCGATACCATCCATGGCATAATATTGCTGGGATATTTTAAAAAAAAGTTTGACAACTATGTTGGCAACCTCGTAAAAATGAAACGCAGAATGGAAGGCGAAATGGGCGAATTACAATTATATAAAAACATAATAAAAGTTATTTTCATAATATATCCCCTTAGGGGATATATTGTGGTTATTTTATGATTATGATGTAAGTTCCATAGGGTTATTTTAAGGTTAAGAAGATTCATAAGTGCTGATTTCATGTAATTAGCAAGTATTAACAATTTAATTTAATATTAGGTGTTAGATTTGTTTAAGAACTTTGTTTATCATTGTTTTCTTAGCCTTAACGAAATATAATTTCATTTTGAATCTAATTTCAATTCTTTTTGAATACAGTCAAATTGGGTAACTTTGGAGCAATGGGGAACATTAGACCAGACCATCTAAAAAGGAAAGATATCCTAATATTTACAATAGGACCCATAGCTAATTACAACTTCAACCATGTTTGTAAAAAAATAAAAACTTAAATACAAATTAATTATAACTAATAACTGACCTAGGGTCTCTACATTAAAACTAATTAATATGGTTTAATCTTACCCGTAGCCTTTAAATTGTAAGAAATCAGTAATTTCTCTCGATGAAAATACTTTGGTCAATGTTACCCCAAATCCAATAAAACTTTGGACCACACCCAAAAATATATTTTTTTTATATTTACAATAATTTTTTTTTTTTAATTTAAAATTCATATAGATCATTTTACAGGAACACCAGTAGGTGCATCATTCAATATAATTGTGCAACAATAACAAATAAATTCAGATTTATAATAAAAACCTGGTCCAAAGTTACCCGATTTGACTGTATATTTGTAACAATAACAAAACATTCTTGTTTATCTCCTTAATTGTTTAAATAATTATTCTAATATTCAAGCGGCGTATTCAAATAAAACCTTTTTTCATATTCCTTCTGATGTTAAAATTCGTGAGAACTGGTTTAATAATTTAATAAAACTTGCTATCTTTGTGAATAATTTTTTGCCAGTCTTTTAGAAAAATTGCCCTAAAACGTAAACGACTAATTGCAAATGCTGTAGGATAATAATACATTTAGTTTAACTATACCCAACTATACTCAACCCGAAAGTCAGATTTTAGAAAATGTTGAGGCTGAAAAACATACCCAGCAGCATAAGATAGATTTGCTTACCTATCCACAACGAAAAACAAGAAATAAGTTGCAAACGTAAACTTAGTATTAGTGATAAACAATTTAAGGAGGTCCTTTCGCCACCAATGTTAAATAAAAAATATTAGATTATGACTAAAATTAATTTTTTTTCTAATAGTAGATGTCCTTATTTATCTAATAGTGAACTTTTAACTATACCTTACCGTGCAAATTTTTGAGAATTTTTTTTTTTAAATGTGTGTGTTTTTACAGTGTCTTATGAGAAAGTAAGACTTCAACAACAATTTTCGAATTATAATTAATTTTACTATTATTTGGAGTAGAAAAAAACAAAAATAAGGTTTTTGAAATATTTAGGTTTTGTTTTTTACAATAAAATATATAGGTTACCCTGGAATTTATTGAGAAATTATTATTAAAAAATCACAAAAAATTTTCAACTAGGTTACTTGAAATTTTTTTGTGATTTTTTAATATTAATTTCTCAATAAGTTCCACGGTTTACTATATATATTTTATTGTATAAAACAAAATCTAAATATTTCAAAAACCTTATTTTTAGTTTTTTTCTACTCCATCTAATCAATAAATAATAGTATAATTCGAAAATTGTTGTTGAGGACAAATACTCACATTAAAAAAAAAAATGTCAAAAATTTGCAAGGTAATGTATAGTTAAAAGTTCAGTATTAGATAAATAAGGACTTCAACTATTAGAAAAAAATTAATTTTAGTCATAATCTAATAACTTTTTTTTAACATTTGAGGCGAGAGGTGTGGCGAAAGGACCTCAAAACGAAGAAAAACTATTTTACAACAGATAAATGAAAGCAGAGTCAAAAATTTAACTCCTAAAGAGAAAAAGCTTTATTTTATTAATAGAAAACAAAATATTAGAATTTTTAAGCCAGAGAAAGCTCTTAGTATTTCCAAAAATAAACGAACGGCCATCATTTTAATAAGCAAGAGAAATTGTTCACTAACACTTTTTTGTTTTTATAGAAACACCTAACAATTACCTACAGCGAAATTTGGTCCATTTTTTCAAGAATAAGATGAGACTACTATTAATTTCACTTACAATTATTGTTATTTAATATTGAGTACATGTATGTAATAAACGTTTAAATGCACCTTACTTATATTAAATGACAAAATTATACCGGTGTTTCAAATATAAATATTTCTTTATTTATATTTTTTTGGGGTTTTACTACTTTAACAAACTAATATTTATGTTAAATACAATTTTTTAATTTAAATATTAGTTTTTTTAGAGTAATGAATGCCGAAAAATGTAAATAAATAATAAAGGACATTTGCATGAACCGTGGGTACGCTTTACAATCTTCTTTTTATTTTCTTCTTTTTTGCTGCCTTTAACTGTCAAGCGAATCAGCCAATTGTGTAGTGTGCGATGGTGCCTCCAAATAATATGCTGAGGAACTAACAACGTGTTACCAGTGCCGTGCATTTAAACGGTTTATCTTACATATTAATTTATCTATGGCCCACACTGCTGCTCGATTGAACAAATGCGTATTTGAATGCCTAAAACATTCGCTGTATAGTCCAGATCGTTAGGTAATGACTTCTTATTTCCGCAAGTAAAGGATAAATTACAGGGTTTGCGTTTTACATCGGTCGCATAAACGGTTGATAAAAATAAAAAACAAACTGCAGCCAGAAGATTGGAGAAAATGGTTTCAAGAGCGGTTTTTGCGGATTCAAAAATGCATTGACTGCGGAGGAGAATACTTTGAAAAACTATAAATGTTTTTTGCAAATTAACTTTACTAGACCCATCGTACACTCATAATTTGCGTAGACTCATGGAAAGGGATTGATTTCCTTAATCACCCCGTATCTACGCCACTGATCCAATGAGATATTGGCAAGATTATTGATTTCTTCTAGTGAATAATATATCCTTTCTTAAAAAACACATTGAGCAGTGGATATAGAACTTTATTTTTGTAGTTTAATTTGACAATATCATATTATCCCCTCCAATATATTTTTTTTATTGAAATATTTTTTGGATACCGTTTTTCTACATAGTTAGATGTCTAAATTTAGCCATAAGAATGTTCTCATTCTTAAATGTATAATCATAAAATGAATTTAAAAAATCAGCTCTTTTGTTTGTAGATTGGATGATAAACAATTACCTATTACATATTTTGAATATTATAGAATCTCCTATAAAATTTTAAACCATATTCCGTTTCTAAAGTAAAATTACGCTCCTAACTTTGATCTTAAAATAAATTTTGACCTTCCCTCCAAAGAGTAACTTGAGTGTTCCGATTTTACGGTATTTCGTTATCCTCGTAGACGTAAATGTAAGGATGTCTTTCCAAAAGGACGATGTCTCGTTCCAGCTGCTTCAGTTGATTTTCGATTTTGGATTTTCTCAATATTTTCGGAAGAGTATCCGTATAAATCGACTGAGCTTGGTACTGTAGTTGCAACTCTTCCCAATTTTGTTTCAGTCCCTGGAATAAACGTAAAATTACATACAGATAAACATTTTATGTACACTTACAATTTAATGAGATATCAAAAAGAAATCGAATGAATAATATGAGAGGAACAATCAATATCCCTATCTTGGCTTGCCGCATTATTTAGTAGAAGGAGCCAATAATTCATATTGTAAGTTTTACATTATACAGGGTGTAACAAAAAGATTAGTCATAAATTATACCACATAATATTCTGGGATTATAAAAATAGATCGATTAAACCTTATTTACCTACGAGGGCGGATTGATATTGAAGCTACCTAGCGCTAGATGGCAGCACAAACACAAAAACTTTTTTTTTAGAAATTGCGATCTGTCAAACGTCAGCTGTTAAAATTTCACCCAAATTCATCGATTAGTTTATTTGTTGTAGTCGTTTGAAGTAAGCAACTTTTGTGTTTCTTGAAAAATGGAAAAAGTGAATTTCGTGCAGTGATTAAACACTATTATTTGATAGGGAAAACGGCGAAAGAGACAAAAGAAAAGCTCGATAAACATTACGGTGAGTCTGCTCCGTCAGATTACATGGTACAATATTGGATTGCTGAATTTAAAAGCGGCCGAACAAGCACTGCAACAATACCATCAACAGGAAGGCCAAAAGAGGTGGTTTCTGAAGAAAATATCAAGAAAATCCTCGATATCGTTATGAATGATCGCCGAGTCAAGTTACGTGAGATTGTTGAAATGGTAAACATATCATATGAACGTGTGTTCAACATTTTGCATGAACATTTGCATATGAAAAAGCTATCGGCAAGATGGGTGCCGCGTTTGCTCAGTGTCGAACAAAAACGAGTTCGACAGACCACTTCACAGCGGTGTTTGGACATGATAAAGCGTAATCCTGTTGATTTTTGGCGTCGATTAATAACTGTTGGTGAAACGTGGGTCCACCACTACACACCTAAAACCAAAAATCAATCGAAACAATGGGTGGAAGCTGGTGGAAGTGCTCCGAAGAAGGCGAAGACAGTGAAATCGGCTGGCAAGGTTATGGCCACTGTATTTTGGGATGCACACGGAATATTGCTCATCGATTATCTTGAAAAAGGATCCACAATCACAGGAAAGTATTATCGTGCATTATTGGATCAATTGATTGATGCAATCAAGAAAAAACGATCACATTTAAAGAAAAAAGTGCTGTTTCTTCAAGACAACGCACCGGTTCACACAGCATTAGATACGATGCTAAAATTACGTGAAATACACTTCGAATTGGTTGATCATCCACCTTATAGTCCAGATTTAGCTCCTAGTGACTTTTTCCTGTTTCCAAACGTGAAAAAATGGCTCGAAAGAAAAAGATTCATCTCAAACGAAGAAGTGATTACCGAAACTAACGCGTATTTTGAGGGGTTCCCAAAATCGTATTATTCAGATGGTATAAAAAAGTTGGAATATCGTATTACTAAGTGTATTGAGCTAAAAGGAGACTATGTTAATGTTTTTTTCCTACTTTTCCTCGTATGTACAAAAGTGCACAGAAAAAGGTTTAAATATATTTAAATGATTTTTTTTAATGTTCTTAAATCTTTTAACATTTTTCATTAAATTTTATAAGCAGAATACAAGTAGAGGCAATATTTTTTTGGTCGATTTTTGTAGGTTTTTGGAGGGGGTCACAGCTCTTTTAACCATTTAACTTTTTTGTAGCACAAAATTTTATCAAAAATGGAACGCCACTGGAATGAAATATCCATTTTGAAACTTTTTTGTCTCTTAGTATTTGTTTGTAAAATGTTTGGTTTAGACCAAGGATTTCCAAATTATTTTGGGCAAGAGACCCCTTTTCCAAAAAGAACTGATACCTAAGACCTCCATAGCCAGCCAAATTAGTTTTTTTCCTATAGGGACCGTGCGTGAAATATAGAGGCAGCACTACTGCCGAACTTAGCCCTCTCTAGTGTTTAATTTTAGAATTAAATGGGGTAAACATTGCAAGTAAATAATAAAGGGTATTTTTTTAAATATTAAATATAGTTAAAAATAAATACCGGCCCGTACCAAACAATCGTGTACATGGTCAAAATGACGTTAAATGTTAAAACATTATTAAAATCTGGACATGCATATACATTTTAAGCAAAAAGATTTAAATGGCTAAGTGACAATAAATTGTAAAGTTGTACCTTAAACAAGTGTATCCAATGTTAAAATATCGGTATTTAGTAACACTGAATTTAAAAGTATTACAATAACATTTAAAAAATGTAAATTAATAAAAAAGATTGATAATAATAATTATAAATCTTTTTAGCTTTATGTTAATCGAAATGTCATTCATCCACTGACGTTTATGAGATGTTCAATGATACATATTATAGATTGCTCACCCATCTATAAAAAAATTATGAAAAGCGGGTTGCAATGTGCCTTTCCTAGTGCTCACTAAATAGAGCCGTTCTAGCCCAAATGTGTTTTAAAATAAAATTTCAGAATTTTAATCTTTAGAAAAAGAAAATAATTAAAGTTTTACTTCAAGACATGTCATTATGTATTTGGAAAGTTTTCATGTAGTTAAATAATATTAAGAGATCTAAACAATTTTTATAACAGATGGATATAAATAATTTTAGACCACTATTTCAGAAACAATTCTACATAAAATACATAATTGTAATATGTAATTCAATTTTGAAAAGGTAATTTAAACAATTTTGATATGAGGTATAAACAACTTTGGTAAGAGTTGTAATTGGATCTATTATTCTGAATAATGTTTAATGGTAATGTCACTAATCTCTTTTGACAGTAATTGCAATGTATTATTTATGATTTGTTTATTTTAATAATAAATAGAAATAGTTAATAAATTGTAAAGAGGGCCGTGATATTTTTGTCAAATTAGACATTCTTATTTCATAATAGAGAGTTATTGCAAGTTCAGTTAAGGTCAGTCATTATTAGTGCCGCTCTTATTTTGACATCTAAGCATGCGCAGATCACTAACTTTAATAAAGATTGTGCCTGTCCTTAATAAGAAAGTTATTGCAAGTTCACTTAAGGTCAGTCACTATTAGGGCCGCTTTTATTTTGACATCTAAGCATGCGTAGATGTTTATGTTCTAAAACTGACTTTATTAAGGATTGTGCCTGTCCTTAATTGTGGATGTTTAAGGGTAGCAGGTAGTGGCGACTTTATAGTTTTCGGATGCGCTCGCCGACATTCGTATCCGTTAGAAGTTTTTAATTATTAAATATTTACTATAATCGTCATTTAAACCTTCTAAAATTATAATTTGTTATGCCTCTTTAATATTATAGACAACAAAAAAGATTAACTATGATTTAAAGTTTAGTGGCTGGCTTTATAGAAATTTGCAATATCTCTCTATTTAGGACAGGCACAATCTTTATTAAAGTTAGTGATCTGCGCATGCTCAGATGTCAAAATAAAAGCGGCACTAATAGTGACTGACCTTAAGTGAACTTGCAATAACTCTTTAATAACATTCTACATTAGTTTTAATCAACAGAATAAACCATTATCTGAAAAATTATATTTATATAAAATGTTCATTTAAATATGTAAAAATCTTAATGACAAGAAAACACTAAAGATTATAATTTCTAAACCGGTTCTGTAAATGATTTCTTTACAACTATGTGCTCAAAATAGATACAAGCTAGATAAAAAGAAAACTTTGCCCAGTGAAATACGCGTTTCGTCGTCTGATTTACATATGGATAAGCAATCTTTGTAATTATGTATATCATTGGGTGTGAGGCATAATTGTGCTCTGTGGAAATTTATAAAATTTCTTTACTATCGAATGAAATCCAGGTTTCCAAAGTGATGTGTTTGTACATCCACGGATGCAGCAAGTTTTTTCGATATTGATATTACGAATATAATTCGACTTCATTTTATTAATAATTATTAAACAATATATGCCGTATAAAACATTAATAAATACCCCCCATAAAGTTCACATTTTTGTCACCAGTTAGCGTTAAAGTCATGACGCACGGTCCCTATTGATACAAAAAATATTTGCTGTTGGTTAAGTGAGTAAACTTGACATCATTTTCTCATCAAAATTTAACAAAATAGTCATAAAATTACGTAAAAATACTCAAGTAGGTAATTATTTTTTGAAAAAAGAAACATTAAAATCGCAAAGTAAAGATAGAAAAATAAATAATTCAGTGTGATAGATGAACCTGACGACTTTCTACCAATCTAGCTAAATCTGGTTTAATATTGGTGAGTTGCAGCCTTAAATCTCTGCGTTAGTTGATTTTCAAACGGTATCTTTGTTTTGACAAAATGTTTGTAACCACACTGACGCCTTTTTCGATTAGAAATGGTGATAGAAAAGCGATAAGATATTTTTCAGCAATATTCCACAATACAGGATACTGTGTTTCAATGTTGCGCTGCAACCAGAACTTCTGATAGCCTTGGTTGAACTTCTGCTTAAGCTCCTCGTCTATGCTATTGGTAATCAACTCTTCTTGCATTATCACATTGTCTTCTTCCATGGCTGTGATATTGTACAGATTTATTATCCATTGAGGAAATTGTATATTTAAGAGATCCTTAAACTTCTTATTAAAATCCTTGTGTAATGCGTCCAAGTGAGTGATATACATATAATAAAATAACATTGTCTGGTAATTCTGATTTATGCGGAAACTGTGAATATTATTTTCTGCTTAAATTTTGTTTAAAAAAGATAAGTTTTCCAACAAAGACCGATATTATTGAATTTTGTTCTAATCAAGTTGAGATCGTCACCCTGCAGCTGCAAATTAACTGACTATCAAAACTGAGTTTCAGTTAATACATCGAGAAAAGTAAACGCCACTGAAGATGGTTGCCGCAGTTGCAGCTGAAACGTTTGGTAGTAATAACCAAGAAAGACTACGGCACAACAGCCCGGAAACAAACAATTATATTGACGCCGGCCGTGATAGCCTACATATTAATAAATATCTTTTTTACAATTGTTCAGATTTTCTTTCAAATTCGGATCTTTTTTTTGTAAAAACTCCAACACAGATTTAAAAATAGCTAAAAATATTGCTAAGCAGGGGCGTCTTGATAGCCAGCGAACGTCAGTGTACAAAAGTAACCGATTAAAGATTTCGTCGTTTTCCTAACATAGCTGAGGAAATAACCGAGAGTTCAGAGAATTGCTTCGAATCTTGTTGACAGCATTTATAACATATTGTAAAGAGTGGGTGCAATCAAGGACTCAGATTTTTGCTAATAAATGCTGTCTGTGAATCACACAATGAATGACCAGTACCTCAGGCAGTTCTCGCCTTAAGTGAGCTATAAAACCACGATGACGACCACCGTGCACCATCAGTCGCAACAGAAACAATGTTCTTCCATGGAATAGCTTTGTCGGTAAAAAAAAACGTTTTCCTACGACCACTTAGGAAAGTGACACATATCACACTATATAGTCCTATGGAAAGTGCACTATATCACACGCGTATGAACAAGAATTTACCACTCGTGTGCGAATATGCTACTTTCCGCATCAGCTGTCACAAAATGTCAAACGCATCATTTCTATTTTGATCTATGTAATGTCCATATTAATACTAAAATCGATATGATTGTTAAATTATTGAAATTGTTGTAAATTAGATCCTAGATATTTATCTTTAACAATTATTATTAAAATAATTTTAAAATAAGTTATGTTTGCTTTTTATTCTGGTTAAACACATAACCGATTAGATCATTCAATTGACGGAAGGCCTATTAGCTCAGGTGGTAGAGTATCAAACTTTATCAACTTTGCCATTTGAGACCTGGCATTCAAATCCTTGCGGGGGCAGAATTTTTTTATTTTTTTTTTGTTTTTTTGTTTTTTTTTTGTTAGAAAATATGAAATTTTAATAAATACGATTATTGTTGATTATTTTTGAAATACATTTTAATTATTACAATAATAACTTGGTTTTACATTTTTTGATGAAGTTATTTTGTGGTCGTAAGAAAAATATTGTACATCACTTGTGTGAAAAGTGATTTTCCACACTCTTAATGTAATATACTATTCACGGTCTGAAAAATCGATTCTCCTCTGGTGTCAAGACTCTAAATATGTAGCAAAAAGCAGTTCTTGGCACATATTTTCATCTTTAATATATTGAACATATCCTAACAACAGAGTTTCATTGCCGGGTAATGTAGACTCGTCTAACTGGAGAGAGAATATGTTGGTCTGTAAGAAATTGCATAAAATGTTTTCCACGTCTCGACCCATCTCGTCTATTCGTCTCTGAACGGTGTTATTGCTCAAAGGAAGTATTTTTGGCTTGTGCAATACATTGTTGAGGACCCCCACAATGGCTGGTAAAATAAGCTGCTCTCCAATTGTGTGGGGGTTCCCCGACTTCGCTATTAATAAAGATATTGGGATCTGAAAATAAGGTCTCAGCGCATTCTGTACTTGACATTTAAACTAATTGTTGTGGCTTGTTATTGTTTCATTTTTGAGTTTGATTTACTAGCCAAGAAAGCAGCCATCCAAATACTTTTTGGACCTGGCCCTTCTATTGGCCTGACAAAATCGGTAGTGACAGACCTAATAAAAGAACATTCCCTTGTGAAATTCAAGGAAAGATGGGATGAAACAAGAAACTGCAGAGTTGCCAGGGAGCTCTTAAGTTATCCTGACAACACTGCAGCAAACAAATACTTGACTATGACTAGACAGAATCAGCGCCTAGTCACAGGCATTCTGACTGGTCATTGCCAAGTACGGAAGCATTTCCATATCATGGGGCTGTCAGAATCCGCACTCTGCAGAGGGCGTGAACAAGAAGATAAGGTTATCTAGCATATCCTTTACGATTGCTCGATGCTCTCATTTATTAGATTTGTGTTCGGCGAGTATCGGCTAACACCGGCCGATATAAGAGAAGCACCTCTTGACGACGTTGTCAACTACATTAAATCTGTAGGCTGGCTCACGAGCTAGGAGGTGCCTATCATCTTAGGAGGATGCACAATGGGCCTAATGAGGCCTAAGTGCCGTGAGGGTAACCCATCCTCCACACTTTACAGATACAGGGGCTTATCTTGCATACATGGATATGGATATTTTTAGTTTTTTCTCCATAATAGTCGTTTATTGAGTGAACCAGTGTTTCGATTATTTTTGCAGATTTAGGATGGATCAAGACAGTCAAAAATAGCTACCGAACCAAAATTATTACTAACTGAAAGTTTGCTGGCGAAATCTATTTTTATATACTCAACTTTTCTTCCTCTGATATAAACTTACGTAAGTTGCCGCCTTAAGGAATACTTTTTATTATTAATTTCATAAAAAGTTGTGCATGGTCTAAAACCTAAAATATGTTATCAAATTTTATCAGTCTCATACGAAGTTTATCAAAAAATATGATTTTGTTCGAGAGTAAAGTACCTTTATTTTTGACAAACCTCGTATACGACTGATTAAATTTGATATCAGATGATTGCATTTTAGGTTTTAGACTTAGACCATGCGCAAGAATAACTTTTTTCCTCAAATTAATAATACGTTCCATATGACGCCAGCTTACGTAGACACACTGTACATACAGTATGTTAATTTTCCAACACTGACTCCAGGAGAACGGTATAGAAAAAGGATGCTGTTGAATAGACATACATAGAACAATCTATCCCACTAATGGCTGCTATTAATGAATCGGGATTCCAATTGGTAGAACACTATTGGCCATATTTGGTTGCCTGCGACTACAAATTGTTTTCGAAACAAAGAACATTTGCGTGATAAGAAAATGTTGTATTGTTGATTTTAAGAGGTTGGAGAAAAGTTCTTCTACGACGCTCTTTAAGGGAGATTATGTCGAAAACTAAAATAATTTTTGAATTAATTTAAAAAAACTTACATTGAGCAGTTCCTTTCTTCTATGCCTAGTAACGTATCTACAAATGGGCTGCGAAGCTCCGATAGTGTCTTTCTTTAACTGATATTCCTTCTCTTTCTGTCTCATAAACTTTTTCAAGTACGCTGGCGTTTTCCCGTAAGGTTTCATTTTCACGTACAACGGTTCCAGAACGCTAATCGGTTCCTTGTTGCCGAATTTATCCAGAACCAGATAAGGTTCGGGTTCTTTCGCTGGTTGGTCCTTGATTTTATTGATATTGTGGACGACGAAGTCTTTGTCCTCTTTCGGAGGATTGTACAGCTTAACCACTTCTTTCGTTTTGGGTACTTCGTCACGTTTGTGAGCTAAACAGCATTTCGATCGTTCTTTGGGTCCAGTAACTTTTACGTAACAAGGTTCCCCTGCGAAAATACAAAACGTTTATTAAATTAGGAATTCAACTGAAATAAAAATTATATACAAGTTATTTAACCAGCACTAACATTAGTTACATGAAAATAAATACAATAAAATTTAAAATACTATTTGGCTCTGTAAAATTAAAAAAAAATAAGGTGAACAATATTTTTTATAAATTAATGTTAGAAGATTTTAAAAATGACATGATTATGGCTGTATTGCAAATTGGTTTTCGTAAATAATCATTTAGACATAAAGGGGAATACTGGGGTCGAAAAGCTAAAACCATTTTTTGGTATAAGAATTTTATATTATCTGTATTATTACTGCATTCCATCAAGATATGACCTAAACTTCCAATTTCACCACAGCTGCAACTTGGGGAGTCAAGGATACCAATTCGGAACAGATGAGCAGAACTATAGCAGTGACCAATTCTCATTCTGCACATTGTACCGATTTGTCCCTTTGTTAATTTAATTTTAAAAAACCAGGGTGTTCTAGGCAGTTTGTTTAATATATTAAAAAGTTGTTTTCCCTTAGTTTGACTCAGTTCTCGCCATTCTTCACTCCAATCATCCCAAATTTTATTTTTAACTCTGGGTAGCATATTTCTATAATCCATTGTCATTACGTCAGAATAATGTTTGTTAAGTCCTAATTTAGCAAGTTTATCAGCTATGACATTTCCCTTTATATTCGTATGACTAGGTATCCACGCAAAAGTAATATTTATATTCTTAAGTTTTGCATCGTAAATCTGACTTTTAACATTTAAACTGCAGCTATCTGAACAGGATAGTATACCTAATCTTTATATTCTCTGAATAGCACTAGAAGAGTCCATACATATAAGCACATTTTTGCAGTCAGATTTATTAATTTGGATTACAGCCATTTCCACAGCTTTGATTTCTGCAGTGCAAATATTAGTTCCATCTGCCAAACGTGAACTAATATTATAGTTTAACTCGGGAATATGAACTCCATAGCTTGCTCTATAAGAGGATAGGTCTACAGATCCGTCTGTATATACTAAAGTATAATTAGGAAATAACGTGTTTATTGCAATGGTAAAATTTTTAGAGTTATCCAAACAGTCTTTCTTTAAACCTAAACTCACAATGTTAATATCCATAAATTGTGAAACAAAACTGAATTCAAAACATGGACAATTTTGATTTTTTTCTATTTGAGAAATATAGGGTAGACGTTTGTTGAAAATGAACGAGACCATAACATTGCACCTATTTCGGATTTTATAAAGAATTAAAAAATTCTAATTTTATGTTTTAAAAGTCCGTTATTTTGCTTGTGAAGTTACTGGTTTAAATTGATGGGAAACACATTTCTTACTGCTGATTGTCGTTAGTTTGTATTTATAGAAGCAGATGAGGATAGAATTAGTGATTAATTTATTGGACAATCAAAATTCAAACAGAACACAACCTTTGACTATAACCACGGTGGGACTGTAAGGTGAACCAACTCCCATTTAAAAACAATAGAAAACGTACGAGTAAAAATCCGTTAGGTTCGCTAGTGTAATTACGACAACAGTGTCTTCGGGTATTCTTACCCAACTTGTGAACTATCATAAATTGACGAAATAGTTTGTTCATCAAAAATTATAACATTTTCCATTTAGTAGAATGCCCTATTGTTTTGAAACATTTTCATCACTTCATTAGTCACTATGGCATTTTATTGACGATTTCTGGTATTCTGCAATTTTTAAATGTGGATTGTCACCGTTTGACCCTGCCCAAACTGGAACACTGTACGACAAAAAATAATTAAGTTTTACCTGTCAGAAGTCTAATCGTGCAATTCAGTTTGTCTTAACTTTTTAGTGGAGTTTAATTTTCATAAAAAAATGACAAAACGATCAAAAGCACTAAACGAATCATATATTATCGAAACGAAATATAGGGGTATATTTCATAACGACGGCAATTTTTTTAACAACTTGCTATGTTACCACTTTCATAGCGACTGTATAACAACTTTGACAAAAGTCGCTATGCTATCATTCGTGGTTGCTATAAAATATTACAATTTGTACGTGTGGTGTAATCAGGCTTTTAACAATTTAACCTTCGAGTCAGTAGGGCCGGGACCAATGAGGTTAAACCTCAAAGTGAAAAATAATATATCATTTCTGAATTTTACATTTTGTTGTTAGATTGGTTTAAAATAAAAATGTAGTTCTAACATTTAACCAAGACATCAAAATTTAATGTGCCATTCTATCGCAAGCAGACCCTTTCCCGATCTTACTGAGAGGTAGTCCCTAGACAGCTTTGAGCGAAGTTGTCAACCAGCAGACTTTTGACGAGCTAAGAGGCATCTTCCTGAATGCCCCCGGAGGATGAACAATGGCCCTATTGAAGCATAAGTGATGTGGGAGGAACCGACCCTTCCCACCTTACAGATACAGATTGCAAGCAAGAAATAGTAGCCTCTGCTGAAAACAGTGTTACTTCATTCCTAAAACAAATCATTAGAAAAAATAATATATTATGTACCTATTTAGTTCTGATACGTTCCTATTATCTTATCAGTAAACGTACCTTCTATTAATTTCTTGGTCTATTCAAATATTTATTGTCCAAATGTTCATATTTATTTCTCAGCAATTAGTTGTTATGCTTAACCGTCAATATTATGTGATTGCTTCCAAATCACTTGGAATTCACTTTTGCAACCACTAGTTGTCACAGATTTTACTTAGAAAATTCAATTTTCCCCAGTGGTAATCTAAGAACTGACCTGGGTCTAAACAACATTCTCAGTATCAACTTGCTTGGTAGCAACTACTGTATGACACAGAATAATAGAGAATGGTAACATCTTATAGTTACACCATAATTTAAACGAAATATCTGGTTTGATCTTATTTTCAGCTCAAATAGAGGCTAGGATATGGCAAAATACGATAGAAATTTATATTACAAGGAAAATCGAACATTTTGTAATCAAATGAAAGTGGAAAACATTTATTAGGAGTTTAAAAGTAATTTGTATGTCTTACAAATTAAAAAAAAACTAATAAAATCTATTTTAGCTTCTTATGGAATTTCAAAATTGGCGCCATAATTTGTCCAAATGGTCCAATTTATGTCCAAATGGTCCAATTTATGGCACTTCCAATCCCCTTTTGGCACAGATTTTCACGATGTCAAATATAGCAAATATAATATCGAGTAAATATTGCAGATCCGTGTATTCGCTCCGTGCGCGACAGCAGCGCCAATTCGTTTTGATACTAATGGACTATTTCTGCGTGTACTGACAAATGCAACTTTTAATAGAATTCGTAATTAAAAAGTATACATGTTAGTTTTAATAAAAGTGTATGGATTTGTAAAACAAGTAAAACATTAATTTATTATTATTATATATTTTTATCGCTTAAATTAAAGAAAATTATGTATAATCGATATAAATCAATAATAAAATATAGGCAGGCAACAGTATTTACTGGAAAATGTATGAGAAGTTACCTAAGTCTAATAAGTTTTCATTGAAGAATTAGTCTATTCTGTCAAAATACAAAAATACCATTTAATAATAGCGTGAAGTTAAAATGTATAAAAAAAGGATCATTACTTATATTTTCATTTTTGTTCGAAAGAAAACATAGAATAAATGATTAAAACTAATTTCCTATCAGTAAGTTACAAAATTGCGTTCCAACCACATATAATAATCAAAGGCAGAAATCTTGAAATCTAGTCCTTGCTGAATGAACATTTAAGAATAAGGGATATTAAAGAACATGGTAAAATGATAATTTATTGTTTATTTAAAACCTTTCAAGTTTCTGATGTCTACTATTTGCAGCATTACGGTTATTATTACAAAAATAAAGGTAATTTTTCTTCTTATTGTATATCTATCCATTTATTTCCTTGATTTAATTTCCACTTTGCTACTGAAATTTTTTATATAAGTTTCACTGTTTTTTTGCTAGTATTTGTACAATTTTCAACACAGCAACTCCGGTTGCTTATTGTATTGTTTTTACCTACTTTTTTTGAAAAAAAGTAAAATGTATACGTGTATTTGATATGCCAAAATTACAAAATATCGCCCTAAAATGCACGAATTATCCGCAGCTAGCGCTACTATCGCTTTTGCTTCCCTTTCCATGACTTCGCACGGAGCGAATTCGTTTAGTGCGAAGTCATGGTAGGAGAAGCAAAAGCGATATTAGCACTAGCCGCGGATAATTCGTGAATTTTAGGACGATATTTTGTAATTTAGGCATATCAAATACACGTAAACATTTTACTTTTTTTTCCAAAAAAGTAGGTAAAATTAATACAATAAGCAACCGGAGTTGCTGTGTTGAAAATTGTAAAAAGACTAGCAAAAAAAACAGTGTAAATAAATAAAAATTTTCCGTAGCAAAGTGGAAATTAAATCATAGAAATGAATGGATATGCGTACAATAAGAAGAAAAATTACCTTTATTTTTGTAATAATAACAGTAATACTGGAAATAGTAGAAATCAAAAACTTAAAAGGTTTTAAATAAACAATAAATATCATTTTACGATGTTCTTCAACATCCCTTCAATCTTAAATGATTGTATGTGACTGGAATGCAATTTTGTGACTTACTGATAGGAAACCAGTTTTAATCATTCATTCTGTTTTCTCTCGAACGAAAATGAAAATATAAATAACAATCCTTCTGTTTATACATTTTAACTTCACGCTATTATTTAAAGGTATTTATTTATTTTGACAGAAAGGTTAATTCCTCAAGGACAACTTATTAGACAGGCAACTTCCCATACATTTTCCCGTAAATACTGTTGCCTGCCTTTATATTATTATTGATTTTTAATGAATATACTTATTTTTTTAGTTTAAGCGATAAAAATATATAATAATAATAATAAATTGTTTTACTTGTTTTAAAAATCCATATACTTTTATTAAAACTAACATATATACTTTTATTAAAACTAACCTATATACTTTTTAATTACAAATTCTATTAAAAATTGTATTGTCAGTATAGGCAATTTTGCAATGTGCAAAAACGAACAATGAAAGAGCTGTCGAAAATCAGCATATTCAAATAATGTCAGACAGCCAAGCGGCACTTAAGGCCATATCGAGTCAGAAAGTTACGTCGAGGCTGGTATGGGAATGCATCGAAGAACTAAGAACACTGGCAGACCGAAATAGAGTAAAACTATTTTGGGTGCCAGGTCACAAAGGGATCGAAGGCAACGAAAAGGCTGACGAACTTGCAAAAAGAGGGTCAGAAGAAACACCGGAACCAGACACAAACCCAGGAGTACCAAAAAGTACAGTCCGGGGTTTTATAAATGACTGGATTCGGGAACAACATATCAACTATTGGGGAAGCACCCCAAAACAGGCACATGGAAAAGCCTTCATAGGCAGACCATGTCCCAAAAGAACTGGAGAACTACTCTTAATGAATAGGAACCAGTTGAAAGTGATAACAGGGTTCATGACTGGGCACGCCCCAGTAAAGGGACACTTGAACAAAATTGGCATGTACAATGGGGAACTCATGTGCCGACTATGTCACAAGAAACCAGAAACGGCCAAACACATACTGTGCGAATGCGAAGCTCTAGATCGCAAAAGACAGGCTCTTTTTGGACAACCCCAGGTTGATCCAACAACGTATAGAACCCACTCACCCAAGGATCTGTACAAACTTGTACAAGGTACAAAGGTGATAGAGTGGGTGCTATGAACTAACATGGGGTAAAACACAATAAGCCAATAGGCTTCAGTGTTATTCGGAGACACATAGTCAGACGAGCCCAGGAGAGAGAGAAAAAAAAATAGGCAAAAATAGTCCATTAGTACAAAAATGAATTGGCGCTGCTGCCACGCACGGAGCGAATACACTGATCTGCAATATTTACTCGATATTTTATTTGCTATATTTGACATCGTGAAAATCTGTGCCAAAAGGGGATTGGAAGTGCCATAAATTGGACCATTTGGACAAATTATGGCGCCAATTTTGAAATTCCATAAGAAGCTAAAATAGATTTTATTAGTTTTTTTTTAATTTGTAAGACATACAAATTACTTTTAAACTCCTAATAAATGTTTTCCACTTTCATTTGATTACAAAATGTTCGATTTTCCTTGTAATATAAATTTCTATCGTATTTTGCCATATCCTAGCCTCTATTTGAGCTGAAAATAAGATCAAACCAGATATTTCGTTTAAATTATGGTGTAACTATAAGATGTTACCATTCTCTATTATTCTGTGTCATACCAAGCAAGTTGATACTGAGAATGTTGTTTAGACCCAGGTCAGTTCTTAGATTACCACTGGGGAAAATTGAATTTTCTAAGTAAAATCTGTGACAACTAGTGGTTGCAAAAGTGAATTCCAAGTGATTTGGAAGCAATCACATAATACTGACGGTTAAGCATAACAACTAATTGCTGAGAAATAAATATGAACATTTGGACAATAAATATTTGAATAGACCAAGAAATTAATAGAAGGTACGTTTACTGATAAGATAATAGGAACGTATCAGAAGTGGGTGCTATGAACTAACATGGGGTAAAACACAATAAGCCAATAGGCTTCAGTGTTATTCGGAGACACATAGTCAGACGAGCCCAGGAGAGAGAGAAAAAAAAAATAGGCAAAAATAGTCCATTAGTACAAAAATGAATTGGCGCTGCTGCCACGCACGGAGCGAATAACAGACGACCAACCGCCTGGTTGGAGGTCCTTCTAGTCGCCAACAGAGACTAGGAGAGCTTTCACAGGGACGGACTCAACAGATTGCACACACAAGATACACAAAATAGATAACGTAATAGGGTAGTCCATCAGCAATCCTATGTCTAAATTACGATGTCATCCCTCAAAGCCCTTTTAGAATGAATGGTGCATAAATAAAATGATTTGGAACATGAGGCCCCCGCAGCGGTCAGTAGGGGAAGAGGGGGTGTGTGTCAGTGAAAAGAACACACATACGCGACAAGAGGGTCGTTTAATTTGAAACTCGATCGAGCGAGCACCGAGGGGACCAAGAAGTGATGACGTCACAATAAAGCGTTGAATCAAATCAAATACAGTAGAGTAAAAAACATAACCTCGCTTTTTTATGATTCTTGTCCGGTGAATGACTTTCATCGTGGATTCTTGTTTTTGGTTTGTGTGTCAAAACATTGAGCAAAAAATGAAGAAAATGGAAAACTTTTAATAATAAGAGGCAATGGCCCTGAAATGCAGCATATACCACAAATGTCTGCTTCGCCTTCAAACTCCATGCCTGTTATTATTAGTGATTAGATCTGAGCAGAAAAACTGTATTTTCCAAACACACATTTTATTTTTTTTATGCTGAATAATTTTTGCTATAAGACAAAAGCGGCTAAGTAATTTCTTGACTTCTTGTCTGGTCTTGAATTTTGAGATTCAAGTTTGTTTGGAGGTTAATTAAAAAGATAAATTTCTTCCACTTCTCGATCCTCTGCTCTGAGAACATGTTCTCGCTCCAAAGCAAAACAAACACTTTTGGGATCGCTCGGAGTGTCAAATCAAACACGTTTTGCAACGCTTCGAGATCTCCGATGATCAAATCAAACGCACCAAGGGACAGATCACAAATTATCACATACTTTGATTTTCTTTTACTATACGGAGAATGGTCGCACTGCGCAGCTTTCTGAGTGCCTTTTAAAAGGAGATAGAGAACTCCGCTATTTTGATCCCTTATTACGTGTTGCCTACATCTTGGCGCAATATTTTTAATGCGCTAGTTCAGTGTGATGTCATTTTGGTTCCACTGACATTTAATTCTAACCAAACTTTTAACAAAAACATCAATAAATTTGACATATACGTTTTTACTGTTTTTATTTTATTTCAAAATATTGTTTACAGGTCATAAAAAATTGTTTAAAGGTATGTAATTGGTAACTAAACGATTGTATATTTGATACATGCTATCTACTTAATTTAGGAATATTTTTATAAATGTGAAAAAAACGATATAATTTAGGTAAACAAAACGAACAAAACGCACTCAAAAAATCTACTGTCACTTTAATTATCAGTGGAACCATAATTACATCATCACTGAACTAGCGAATAGGTGCGTTTTAATCATCCGCTTCTGCTTCGGAATTGTCGGTTTTCTTGTTTTAATCTGACAGGTTAAAACGCACCAAGGGACACAAATTATACACTTGTTGGACAGAATACATTTGTATAAAAATGCAGTTAATTTTAGCTTTACTTTGTTAAATCCAAAGACAAAAAATTAAAATCTTGTAATTTCGGATATACCATCCATCACTTCTTTGTATTAAATAAAAAAATAACGGATCAAAATTATTAAAATATTTTAAGTTGGCAATTAAATGACATCGTTTAAATGCGAATAATAATGTACCTACCTGAGCCTTTTTTGAGGAAGTTATGTGGATCCGGTAGTTCCAAGTTAGCGACTCCCATTATCGCATATTTCTTTTTTGGCACGATCACTTCGGGTCTGTGAACTTTGACTTGGTCCTTTTCAGTTTTGTATCTCAGTTTAATTTGCTTTTTGGCTTCGGTTTGACTTTTGAAGATATCGTAGATGTTTTCATCGTGGTGGGTCATTAATATTATGGACATTTTTGGTAGTTTTTTTTAATTGTGTATATTCTTAAGAAATAATAATTCTGAAAATGTGACTGTTTAAAATCGTGTTTTGACGCAAATGCGGATATTGACATAACGGTTTCGTTGCTGAGGATACGTTTATTAGCCTTTTATAGTACAGGCGATAAAGAATTATTACTGGAGTGGATGCTTGCTCGAAGGGTGAATGAGGCAATTATCTAATATGGTAATACTTAAAAAAATATATATCTCGTAAATGCTTTGATCTAGGGTGGAAAATACATGTTACCAATCGTCTTCGACATATTCCAACCCAAATACCAACTTTTTGCGGATACAATGGTTCTTCAATAACAAAATGAGGATTTTTAGAGCCCATATTCTGCTTTTTGCTTTGTTGAATTCTATTTTTTAAATTTATTTTTTCTTAATAAAGAAGTTTTGACAAATTTGACAATTTCAAAGTTAAAATGTAATTATGTAGAAGTGGCTAAAGTACCAACCTAGAACATTTAAATTTTACAGCCAACTCCAATTATATTTTTTTCGATGGTTTGTTATTTGCCAACGTTGTAACCATTTGTAATTCTATTGGGTGCTTATGAGCGCGAATAATAAACAATAATAGTGTTTTAAATGAAATTTTTCCCTAAACGCCCAATCAAACGGATAAATGAAGGATTTCTTAGCTAATTATAAAAAATATTTACATATTTCCCTAAATGTTAAAGCTGAGATCACATATCGCCCATTTGCAAGAATACGGTTCAATTAAAAAATAATCAATTTTGAAAATATTGCACCAACGCAACATAACTAAAAAGATACATTCTTTATAGAGAAACAACGACACTTCCGTAGTTATACTTGCGCTACTAATATTGACACTTTTCAAGTTTTAGCCTGTTAAATGAATCAATTAAACTTTATTATCTCGTCTTGAAGTTTTTTGACATTTGCCGGTATTCTCGCGAATAGCGATATTTGGTTCCATTTTATTAAATACCTATACAACATTCTACTAACTGTTGAGTAATCATAGAGTGTGTTCGCGAATAAAGTTGTGAAGGGGGAAAACCTTTTTTAAATTAGAGTAAAAAATGTTGTTCATAAAAACTTCTGTATTTAAATGAACAAAATAATTGTATTTGTCAAAATGTAAGGTTTTCAAAATTAATTAGTTTGAAAAAAAAATTAATTTAGCTAAAAAAAATGTAAACGGGTTTTTCCGTTTTCAGATAAGAATAATGTTTTCATACCTACTTTTTTTTTACAGAATTTTAAGAAGTGACAGTTCTGAAGAAGAAAGTGATCCAGACACTGCCATTCAACCCCATTGTCACATTACAATAAAATGTACAAAAGAAGTTAGTATCTATTTTGTTTTTTTTCTACTGGAAGAATCTTAAATAAATCAGTTTTTTTAATACATAAATAAAAAACAAGTATATTTTAAAATTATTCTCAAGCAATAAATTAGTAAAAGGTAGTTACTTCATCAAAAAGTTCTATTACAAAATTTTTATATATAGTCCGATTTTTGTGAAATTTTCAGGAAATACTAATAATAACAAAACTTAGGGTGTATAAACCTTGAATTTGTTGTATACCTTCGAAAAGTATTTATATTGACTATCTCCCTAGACCAAATATCAGCGACTATTTGGCCTAGTGAAATAGTCATCCCAAATATAATACGACCTTGATTATTGAACATTTTACAATTTGATTCTACATAATTTTGGCATTAATAATTAATTGATAAAAGCTCTCGAGCTAAAGCTCTCGGGCTCTAATCAGATTATTAATGTCTAAAATTTTGTCTCATTAAATTGATATTAAAATATTCTCGAAATTTAGATTCAACAAAAATAGCTGACTATTATCAAGGTCTTGGTATATTACCCGTGAAAATTTTTAAAAGAAATAAAAAAAAAACATTTACGTGCCTTTCTGTATTAAATGTAAAAGTAATTTTTTAATGGGTGAATTTCCCACCATTTTTCCTTAAACGTCTTTGTAGAGTACTGCCTTATCGTTGCACAAATTTAAAGCTCTCAATATTCTCGAGGCACATCATATAGCGATGTATTCTTAGTAGTGCGCGTATAAATATAATTTTATATTAGAAAATCCTTAAAACATTTTTGCTTTCGCGAGAGGTTTAACCACCTGTGGTAAATATATAAAATATTTTTGAAACATTTTTTTAAATAAAAATACATAATGACTAGTGTTTAAATGGCAAAATCAAATCTTTGGGTATTTAATTTAAAAACTGTTACATAGATATTAGCGAGCCAAAAATTCTATTGACGTGAAATATACTTCTCTTAGATAGCAGGCTTTAATGAATTCGACGAGGCTGTGAAACGGCTGGATTTCAGGAGCGCAGTCAGAGACGTCCGTAGATTTAACTATATATGCGCTCTACTAGAACTTCTCATAGGACAACAGATGACAGCTTTATCGGGATGTTCCCAAAAAGTGCTTCTCGCCATGTTGGAGGAAGTAGCTAGTCACGCAACTACTAGTCAACATAACCCCAGAGGTTTTCGACAGCTGTTAGGCAACTTGAGGGCGCTCAGGTCTGCTGAAAGAGGCGCCTGCTGGGGAGGTCAGTTCAAACCATTCTTTTTGTAATTATTAAGTTGTTATTTAAAATTTGTCTTTTTTTTATTAGCTTTTAACCATACTTTTTGTATATTTTTTATATCTATACAGACAGGGTCGACCACCGGTAACTCCTCGGTCAGTTGAGCCAAAACTATTTTTTTTTTAAATCTGTTTAAATGGTTTTCATTTGTTTCTTTTGCAGTATACACAGAAAAAAGGTGTACTATATTCAAGATGAATGGTCTTATTTCAATGCTTTGTTGTGTTTATATATCCGCAAATAAAACTCGTCTCGATTTGAAATTCCAGTAATACTTGTTCAACAATAGCTAATAAGCCTGCTTCAAGATTAGAATCAACTTGCCCTAACCAAAATACCTCTAATTAAATGAAGAGTATATATTGCTTAATTGTAGTATTATGTACATCTTAAATGAAATAGTCTTACACTTGTTTTAAATATACTTTATTTATATTCAATAATACCTTGTTCTTAAATCCAATACAACTAAATTTGTTACAATAATAATATGATCTTTGACATAAATATATTGATTTTGGTTGAATTATAGGATAGTTTCATTGAAGAAATTAATAATCTTGAAATAAGATCAGGCTGTTCTTGCTTTTTAATAGGGTTCTCACTGGTACCTATCCACCGAAAAACATTTTTCAAAATTGTTTTTAGTTAATATACCAAATTCCTCTGTCCTCTGAGGTGTGTCCCACCTAAAATTAAAAAAAAATAATGTTATAACTTTTTATAACGTAACCTAACCTAAATGGAACATAAAATTTTGTCCTACTAAGAGGTCATATCTACAAAATAAATATTTTTAGTAAATGCGGGTAGGTAGATAAGTACGTCCTTTTATAAGTTTTGCACATTTTACTAACCTTTTCTTATAATTATAGTAAATATTTTCTAATTTATCTTCGGCCCACCCAATTAACGATTTTTGGGCAAAAATCTCGCAAAGTGTATGATGGAGGGTGGCAAGTGAAAAATGAGGAAAATATATAGTGTAGAATTTTCAGAAAGACCCTCCAAATAGATTTTCAAGACGTTCAAGACCCAATGAGTAATATTCATCACAAAAATATATTATTATTATTATTATTATTATACATTGATAAAGGCTGAGGACACAAGTCCTATGATAGCCTAAAAACAAAATAGAAAAATTCTAACAAAGTAAACACACTGAAACAAAAATAACACTAAAAATTGAATAAAAATGTTAATTAAACAAACACGCGTCTAACTTATTTTTAAAGACGTTAACTGTTATGGCACCAACAACTTCGTCGCTGAGGTCGTTCCATACATTAAATACCCGGTTGGAAAGGAATGATTGTCTGTGCTTCGTTTTTAGGTTTTCCTTTTTTAATTTTAGTTCGTGACCACGTAGACGAGAGTCAGTATTTAACAAAAAAATGTCACTAAGATTTCCGTAATTATATTTAAGTATTCTAAAAGTAAGAATTAAGTCCCCTCGTAGTCGACGATTCGCAAAAGTTGACAAGTTTGACAATTGTAGTCTTTCTGCATATGATGGTCGGACTGCTCCAAAGGTCATTCTGGTAGCCCGGCGTTGAACATTTTCTAAAAGGTTCTGGTCTCGCACAAGAAGCGGACACCAAACTACACCTGCATATTCTAATAAAGGTCGAACATAAATCTTAAATAATTTGATGTATGTATGAAAGGATACCTTTGCAAAAGTCTTTTGAAGCAAATATAACATCGAATTTGCACGTTTACATGTTTTTAGAATGTGTTCAGACCATGTTAGTTCTGACGTCACTAAAACTCCTAAATCTACATACGAAGACACTTGCGCCAAATTATGGCTACCGAGCGAGTAACCAAGACGTGGATTATTTTTGCCGATATGTAACACCACGCACTTGTTTATATTTAACGGGAGAAGCCAGTCCGAGCACCAATCACTTATTGAATTTAAGTCAGCTTGAATATTATCGTAGTCTACTAAGAGGTTTCCGTAAAATTTTGCGTCATCTGCATAAAATGCTCTTTGAGACTGGATATGGTAAGGTAGATCACTCGAATAAGTTATAAAAAGAAGCGGACCCAGTATCGAGCCTTGGGGGACACCACTTGTCACTAATCTATCTGATGAGTAGGACTGACCAACTTTGACTCGGAAGCTCCTATTTCCTAGATAATTGTGAATCCATGACAATAATTTTCCTCGAATACCAAATGACTCGAGTTTGTGCTGCAGTCTGACGAAAGGGACCCTATCAAAAGCCTTTGCAAAATCGAGATAAATTACATCAGTTGGTTGTTTGCATTCGAGTGAGCGAGACCAATCGTTAATACAGCATAAAAGATTTGTTGTGGTAGATTTACCCTTAACAAAACCGTGTTGTTCCTTTGGTATTACGTTATGCTCTTTGAAAAAGTTAGTCATGACATCAACTACGATGCTTTCCATGATTTTTGATGGGATAGACAAAAGGCTTATAGGTCTGTAATTTGAAGCATCCATTTTGTCACCCTTCTTAAAAATAGCTGTGACTGACGCAATTTTCCATAAGTCGGGTAGAGTAGATGTTTTAAAAGATGTTGTCATGATTGTGGAAAGCGGGTCGGACAGTGTGTTTGCATACTTTTTTAAAAAGAAAGAACTTAATCCATCAATACCAGGTGAAGAGTGGTTCTTCAACTTAAGTAATTTATTTCTAACCTTTTCGGGATTAAACTGCACATCAATCAGACTATTATGTATCCTCGTGGTTATTATATGTGGTAGTGCGGTAGTGGCAGGTTCGTTTGTAAATACAGAAGTGAAAGTGTTTGCCAGAATTTCCGCAGTATCGAAATCTGTAGAACATAAAGTACCATCTGGGCAACGCAATAAAGGTACACTTACTTTGGAACATAAATTTGAACGCACATATTTGTATAATTTTTTGTGATTTTCTGAGTTTACAATATTTTCTTCATAGTCTCTTCTCGCTGAGCGAATATTTAGTTTTAAGAAATTAGAGAAATTTCTGTGAGAACGGAAGTCCTGTATATTTTTAGAAATATTGTACTTTCTCCAAAGTCGCCGTTTATGATGAATTAAGGATACGACATCACTATTTATCCAGGGTTTTAACGGATTTCTGCGGTACTTCTTGGTAAAAGAATGTTTATTAATTATTTCATTAATGGTGCATAGAAAAGTGTTCCACATATCATTTACATTGTTAAACTCTTTTAAAATATCATCAAAGTTGATAGCTTCTAAGTTCATTTTGACATCGTTGTAGTTGATCACCCTGTATAAATCGTACGTCTTACTGTTTACACTTTCAATATGAACTTGGATCTCGGCTATTATTACTGAGTGGTCGGAAATTCCTATTGGGGGAAGATGTTGAGGTTCTGTTATAAGTTGTTCATCATTTGTGATGATAAGATCTAGAATAGAGGGTTTGTTATTAACTCGAAACCTGGTTGGTTTATCTATTAATTGAAAGAAATTAGAGTCAGCAAAAAATTGCATAAAATTACTTGTTGAAGTGTCTGAGTCTGGAATACGAGTTATAGGCCAGCAAATATCGGGAAAAATAAAATCTCCAACTGCAATTGCATTTTGGAGTGTTGAAAAGTTATTAAGTTTATCAATTAATAGCTTAGTTGAAACTAAGCAGGAATCACCAGGTCTATAGATACAGGCGAAATTAATATTGAAGAGACCTTTAGAAACGTTAAGTAGTAAAATATCTATACCTGCTATTTTTGGGATGTCAGTGGTGATTGAGAAATTACGGGTTATTTCTTCACAAATATATATACAAACTCCGCCACCTGTTTTCAATGGTCTATCAGATCGAAATATGGTGTATCCATGGATAGAAACAAGCGAGTCTGGATCTGATGGTTTTAGCCAGGTTTCCGTGATAAATATTAAATGCGGTTTGAGATCTTGAACATTACATAAAAACTCGTCAAATTTGGCTTTAAGAGAATCCAGGTTAGTATATAAAAATGACCAAGAAGTAATAGTGGCAGAGTTAGACTTGAAAGTTAGAGTTTTTAACAATTTTTGGCACACCTTGCAAATACTTAATGGTTATGTCTGTTTCACTATTTTGCTTTCTGTTTTCTAGTTCGGCCCGTAAATCTTTAATAACTTGAACTTGAATAGACGTTTGATCGGTGATTACTGAAAAGTTTTTAGTGGTAGGGTGTTCAAGTAGTTTCTTTTTATTTCTTAATACAGAGCGGGCATCATATTCATTGGGCAGGACAACTTTAATCATACGTGGGTACTTTGAGTTTGACTGGGGCTTGCCAAGTCGGAAAAACGCTACGGGAGTTGAAGAGCAGCCAACAGATTGTAAAACTTGTTTAACTGCAAATTCGTCATGCTTCTTTTTAGTGTCGTTATCACCAGGTGCTTCAGTAATTCCACGCACTATAACATTCTTAGCTCGGTTCATTCTATCAAGTGCTTCGTGGGCAATTTTATCGGCAAATTGTGGGGTAGTTAAATGTTCAAAGTTGGATAGTTTTTGATTAATTTCCCCGAATTTTATTTTCATTTCATCTAGTTCCTTGCTTAGGTCATTTTTAAAAGACGCTAGGAGGGTTTTAATATCCCCAAATTGATCCAGACTAGCGTTACATGCCGAACAAAATATTTTTAAACATTTCGCGCGGTTTCGCGTGACTCGATCTTCTGCTGATAGTCCCGTGCAGGCGAGATGGATAGGCCGTTTACAGCCATCACACTGAATGTTAGTCGTATCTCGATCAGATACTATTTTCGTGCAATTCGCGCAGTTGACCGTGGGCATCGTGATAGTAAGTAAACGATGGAATTGAAATAGATTTGTTGACAAATATCAGGTTTTTAGCACAAAAACTAAGATTTACACCTTACCAAATGCACTTTGTAGATGTTTGTAAAGTTTGTTGGTAACACAAGACTTTATAGAACACAGTTCGCACTCACAACAAAAGTTTCTTTATTTAATTTA